GATTAGTCCAGTTGGTTGTGATGTGACAGACCTACCGCTCAACGCCTGTCAAAAAATGTTGCACAACAGGATACATAGATTGTTGAAAAATTACTACACTTTGCATAACTAACATTGATTAAATAGACTAAAAGTTTCAATTATGGATTTCAATGCGGAAGACCCTTAAGGCAATGTGGAAGATCAATATCCTATCCATTGAGCAAAAAGGATTGAACTTTCTTTTTGCATTTATTTAAGGTCATCAAAGACTATGAAGCAACATAAATTGTAATAGAATGGTAACCCCCCTAGAGTTAGATAGAATAAGATATTTGCCTTGCCTTTTATTTCAAAAATATAACTATGGATCTCTACTTTAATTTCACCATGAAAAATTGTCAATGATCTTGAATCATCACCGCAACTAAAAAGTCAAGCTTTTATACGAAAGAAATTTGTTTATGTGTATACATCATCACATCCCTGATTTCATAAAATTTTCATAAAACCAAAACCTTAGCATGCTCTAAGAAATCATCTTATTGTAAAGCTTAAATTGTTAAGAAAAGATTAACTAACATATTTCTTCAATCCAAGACTCCAGAAATTGAAGAATTAATTCATTTAATAACTTGAAATTAGAAATGACCTTTAAACAGTCACATGTATCATCACAATATTGCCAGAACAATTAATTCATCTCTTAATTCTCTTTCCCTCCATTTCAAGTTAACACCCCCAAACGAAGAACAACGACGAAAAAAAAAATCTGCGCATACTTCCGAAAGTTCAAGCTCCAAGAAACTTGATCAAACTCTAAAATAGAGATAAAAGAAAACGTAAGAAAACAGAGTGTAGTGGATTACCGACGATGAATCTCTTCTTGGAACCTGAGTGCATAACCCAGGAGCAGGTACTGAGAGAAGATTGCGCGAACTGTACATTTTAATCCAAAGGGAAAAAGGCTTAAATTTCTGAGCTGTAAATTCAGTTGTATTTATGTTTGGTACTTGGGAGTGTAGAGATTACACAACGGTTCCTCTCCAATTCCTTTTTCGCCAAATTTCTCCAGTGCATAGGGAAGTCGCTTTTGAATTTTCGACTTTAGTAACTTAACCATCTGAAAAAATCTAAAAAAGTGGGTCCAGTTGGACAAACAGAAAAGCGCACTTGGTTTGATGAAATTATTGATCTTTTGCACTGAAGCAAAGCATATGCTCTGCAGCGCCACGTGACAAATTATGCTCCGTTGAAAATAAGCTCCATTTTTCTATTAAAATACATTCTTCGATAATGATTTGATCTTACTTCAATAATACATTTTTCAATAAAATAATATTATAAGTAAATCAATTACTTTTCTTTATCTTTAACTACACATTTTTCATTAAAATACTATTCACAAAGACATTTTTTTCCACAAAAATGGGACTCAAACAAGAAATAATCGCACTGCATTTTCTTTTCAATAATTTTATTCGTAATCATTCACTTCAGCAAACATTTTACGTGACATATACATGACAGATAGTTATTTGATGTATAGGTTAACAAAAAACTCACATTAATGAATTAAATAATCATTTACAATGTATACGTCACGTAAAACAACTATCGCAGGAAACAATTAAGAATAGTACTGTTCTTTTCTTTTTCTTATTTTGGCTTGATCAAATCTGTGTAAACAATAATATGGATATGTTAAGATAATATAGATATGTTAAAATATATTTATAAGTTGTGTATTTTACGAAAACTTGCGATGATCATTGGTCCTACAAAATTTAACGGTTCATAAAATTAAATCTATGCCGATAGCAAAAGAAAAAGAGAAACTCGGTATGCTAAGCCCCATGTCATGCTAGTCTCTTTGTTTCCACTACTAATTTTGTGCAAGTGCTATGCACGCGCTTACGCTGTAAGGTTTTTATCCTCTGTTTGGTTTCCATTCTTTTTCTCATTTTTGTTATTTTCCTTATTTTCAATCACACAATCTTCCATAAAATAATGTCCTTGTTTGATCCCTATTTTTTGGATAAAGTGAATTCTTGGTAGCAAACTGGCGGGTCTTCAGATTTCACCAGATCTGATGGAGAAACAAGACTTAGTGTAAGCTTTGACCATCCATAAAGATCTTTGAAAGTTCAGAGAACCAAAATCTGAAAGAGGAGAAATTTTATTGCAGAGAATCAAGGACGAATTTTAATGTTGCTCGCGCCATTTTTTGAAGACGTGAACTGAACTTTTGCTGGAATAACACTTTCCAGAATTATGCCAAAATAGAAGAAATTAGAGATATGCTTTCATTTGTGCAGAACACAGAACAGTGTTTTAATATAATTTTAACCACACATTCTTCAATAAAATAATATTACACGTAAATTCAAAAATTTTCCTTATTTTTTAACAACACATTTCACATCAATACACTATTCAAAAATTCATTTTCCCTATCAAAATGGGGCTCAAACAAGGGCAATATTAAAAAAATATCATTCTTTTCTAACCACACATTTTTAAAAAAAACACTATTTCAACTATTAAAATTTGAAAAGAATGGGGCCAAACGACTTAACCAAGATGGAAGAAACTTATTTTGAGGAAATATAATACATGATGAAATAATTAAATAGGGATCCTGAAAAAAAAATATAAATTGAACACAATAACAAACATTTAGAACGAAATAAATTAACATTAAAATGAAGTTAATAACTTTTAGGCCCTGTTTAAGCCACATTTAAAAAAAAAATACACTGTTCAACAGTGATTTGACATCATTTCAATCACAGATTCTTCAATAAAATAATAATACACGTAAATTCAAAAAATTTCCTTGTTTCTTAACCGTACATTTCTCATCAATACACTATTCAAAAATACATTTGCATTCCAATAATGTGGCTCAAACATGAGCTAAGTGTTAAATAAGCAGTTGAAAATTATCATTAAGAAGAAAATATTAAAGAACAATTCATGTAGGAATTACGTTTTTATTCTATTCTCGAAAAAAATTGTTTCACTAACAGTAAATAATATTCAAACTGACTAAGCTCCTATTTGTAATCGATTAAAATTTGGTAAATTATATATTTTAATTTAAATTAAAGTCAACATTTAATTTTAACCACATATTTTTTGGATTCTACATTTTTTATACGACACATTTCATCAAATTCTATGAAAATCTACTAAAATTTTAATTTTAATCATTACCAAACAAGGGCTAAATACATAGTAATTTGTCATGGAGTAGTGGTGGTGATGGCCGAGGGTGGTGGTTCGCGGGGAGGATTGGGTACGGTGGGATTGGTTGGAAGATTTTTTTATTATTATTATTTTGGTTAATATATTTTAAATCGGACCGTTTGCCCTTTACCAAAATTTTAAGACTACAATTGTAATTATTTCTTTATTTTCCTTTATTTATTATTTTTTTCTTTATTTAAAGAGGAGGGCAAATTCTTCATTTTATAAAGTTTTAATGAAGGAAATGGACGACAAAAACGATTTCCATAATGTTTATTTGATTTGAGGATGAAAAACGAAATTAAAAGAAAAGCCTGCATCAATTACTAGTCCCTCTTCTCGTTAACACGGAAGAGAAAAAAGAGAGGGCTCTTTCTTCAAGTTGTAATTATTTCTTTATTTTCCTTTATTTATTATTTTTTTCTTTATTTAAAGAGGAGGGCAAATTCTTCATTTTATAAAGTTTTAATGAAGGAAATGGACGACAAAAACGATTTCCATAATGTTTATTTGATTTGAGGATGAAACACGAAATTAAAAGAAAAGCCTGCATCAATTACTAGTCCCTCTTCTCGTTAACACGGAAGAGAAAAAAGAGAGGGCTCTTTCTTCAAAGAGTTAATCTTATTTGATTTAACTAGGCATTGGAATTATAATGGGCAACATAAATATCGAAATTGAAATTGTCAACATTTTCTTGATAAAACCTTTAGATTTAAGGGGAAAAAATGTGATTTTTCTTCATGTCCTTTAAGTAAATACTTCATTGCCACCCTGATAAACATAAAAAATTATTGAAAATGATCAAAAGTGTAAATGGGACTTTGGACATCATATTCTTCAAGTTTGTTTTAATGGACGTCATATGTGTAGCTTTTTGATCGCAACTTCAATTGAGATTGTTCGACTAGATTTAGTTTAGCAATTCTATATAATCAATCATGTTACAGTGACATAATGTAACATGAAATTTCGTCATTGGACTATTTTAAATACGATAAACTTTTCATCTAATCAAATCTTGTCAACACTCATTTTGTCACTTTATCTGTCAGTCACTTTCTACCAAGGTGGCATAGGGTCAAAAAATAACCAACGTGGCCCTAAAATATATTTTCATGTTCATGTTCACTTGCAAGTTACAAAGTATCAAGTATTTGCCGACTCAACGTCAATCGAAACCATTCAACTAGAATCACTTCAGCAATTGTACTAAAATAAGTAAATAACCAACATGACCCTAACATGTCTGCTTGAGTTCACTTGTAAGTTACAGAGTCTCAAGCCTGCACGACTCCAATTGAAGTCGTTCAACTATAATCCCTTTAACAATTCTACCAAAATAACCAGTATGGCCCTAACATTTATGCTCGAGTTCACTTGTAAGTTACAAAATATCATGCTTGAAGTCACAATATTGTTTAGAAATATTTTCCAGTTCAAATTCAAATCTGCTTCAGGTGTCTACATTTATATATCAAATTCCCTCAGCAAATTCGTGTAACAATATGAGACTGATTTAACAAAGATTTCAAATTTAAACACGAATCTATTTTTAATCCAAAGGAATGTCATGCCAAATTGCAACACAATTTGAATTTGAATTTTCAATTCTTTCAGAAAATTGAAAAACTGTTCAAGTTGTTGAATTAGATGTTGCAAGTTTAATGAATAAGGAGGCACACCCAAAGACTTCATATCAGAAATGGATGGAATTTTTGGCACATGAAACATAATGAGGTGTTAACAGCAACAGGATTACTCAGATATTGAACAAACAAACTGATTAGGATATCAGATAAACCAGAAATAGTTTCGACGAAACAAGACTTAAGCGATATGTTCCATGTGAAACCTCAAAAATGAACTTCAGAGACATACTATCAAACTAAACACAAACAAATTCATCAAAAACCATTGATCTGAAACCACTGAAACCACCACCCAAGGGCAACTGTATGTTGCTCAATTGCACCCCAAAGCCCAACCCAAATTTATCTGTTGCATCGAAGCAAGTTACTTCACCACTGTCAACCCATAAATTCTTTTTCACATTCTAACAGAAAAACAGCAGGTTCTGCTTTAGCTGCATACCCATATTTGCATGTACTGTATTTCTTGTAGACGCCAGTAAGCTTCCCGGTGCCTGCCTTCTGGTGGAAACATACCATGAGTTTGGCACAATCCCTATAAAACAATAACATTTTCTTCAGTTTTGCTCAGTTATTAACACTTTATTTTTCAACTTAGCCCCTGTTTGATGGCCATTATTTGGAAAAACAATGTTTTGAATAGTGAAGAGAATGTGCGGTTAAATAGTATGGAAAGGTATTGGGTTTATGTGTTCAATATTTTACCGTCTAAATGTGTGGTTTCAAATAATGATTGTCAAACAGGGGCCTAAATAGGAGAAGCTACTCACAGAAGCTCGTCCTCGATGTATCTTGTATGCTTCTGGCAAGTCTTGCTCCACTCTGTCGATCCTTTGAAAGTACATTGAGCAGTAAAAATAGCAGCGGCCGCTAGTAAAGAGGATGGGAATCTAAGCATCTCGTACTCAACCAGGCACAATTCAATCAAAAAGAAGGCTAGCAGCTCCAACTAGTTCAAAGTTTAAAAAAAGAAGTGTCACAATTTTTAAGTATTTGGAAGTATAATAGATTATATAATTTAACAAACACATGTAGCAAAATATGCATTTAAACTACCAACTTACCTTTTTATAAGATTGAGCAGCTTTGAGAAATCGTATCATGAAAACATAAGGAGTCGGCACTGAAAGATTGAACTGAAGGGTGTTGATCATTAATTTCTCCTGTCGAAATCACAAGGAAACTGTTATATGGTAAAAATAAATAGCAGAGCATGTACACGATAGATTTATAAAATTACAACACACCATATCTAGAACTTCCTTTCTAGAGTAAGCTCTATCAGAAATCAATACGAGATCTTCCACGATAGGAACAGTAACTTCTTCATATTTGCAAGCGAGAAGCATAGCTGTCACCCCAATGAGCTGGAGTTTCTTTCTCACGACTGGATGTACTGCTAAAAATCTATCGATGAGATTGACAGTTAAATATAAGGTCTCATCCATCAGCTCGAACTTGTAATGCACCTATACATATCATAACAATAATGAGGTTCAACTGCTTATATAGATCTCATAAAGGGACCCAAAATAGTACATTGTTTTATTACCTCAATCAGCCAATCAATGAGAATACCTCTCATCCTTTCATTAATATCAAATTGCTGTGTCATATAATTTGGTGGGACGCGGCTTAAACTCTGCAACATAATTATTACACAGTAGAAATAACAAGAAGAAAGGATAGTTTTAGTACATAGACTAAATGTAAGTGAAAAACCGAGTCTCTATCTTGGAACTTCTCTATGAGTAACAACTATTAGCACCTCCTTATAAAGAATTACAAAAACAAAAAAGAAAAGAATCAAGTGAAAAAAAGTGAAGTTAGCATTCTCTGCACTTGATCCACATACCTAACATTATTGAAAAAGTCTACCTTTGTTGCCTGTGTACAGATATTTTTTGTACATTGTACAAAACGTAATGAACTAGTTTAAGCAAGAAGCACCATTAACAGAACTAATGAATTAAGAAATCCATAGGCTTTGGTTCGACAGATCAACAATTAAGAAATCCATCGACAAGAAGCTTCATTAACAGAACATAATGAATTCTTATCCATAGGCAAGAAGCTTCACTAACAGAACATGATGAATTTTTATCCTACGGCTTCGGTGCAACAGATCAACAATCACAAATAACAAAGGAAACAAAAGGCTACGAAAGTAAAGGATAAAAAAAAATATTTTTGTGCACTGTATATGGCTGAGAGTAAACAAAAGGTTCGATTAGTTTAAGCAAGAAGCATCATAATGAATTAAGAAATCCATAGGCTTAGTTAGACAGCTCAACCATCATAAATAATACTGGAAACAAAAGGGACAAAATTTTACCTCTGTCTTCTTATAGTACGTGTATATATCATCAATATACTCGACTGCTGCAAGTGGATTTTTCTTATCACCACTGTCTATGTCCACAACTGGCTCCTCCACATCATCAATGTCTTCCATTTCAACTTCAGCATCCTAATCAATTGCAAGATCAATGATGCCATCTAAAGATGATTAGTAGATAGAGATCCAAATCAAGCTGAAAATAGTATACCATTCGATCAATTTCTTGCAGCATAGCTTCTGTGTGTTGAACGAACATTGGCATTTCGAAGTCACCCGTGGCCTCGTCTGCTGCATCAATATTAAGGCAGTCTTCAGATTTCCGTGCATTAGAAACTGGTTGGAGAGATGGCTTGACTTCCTAAGAAGGCATAATTATAGATCTTAGACATGGCAACAAATCAGTCGATACAAATTTAAATAATAAATAAAAAGATCCTACGAAGTTATACCTCAATAGATTGCTGCTGCTGATTGCCAGCCATTTGTGCAGCAAACTTCCTGGACATTCACCAAGAAGTAGAAATAAATAAATTAAAAAGTCCAAAAAAACCTATTTATCAATTCAGAAATTCTACTCAATTATATCTTTTTACAAGCAAATACATCTGTTGCCAAAAACCGCACTTCTTCTTTTATTTTCATAAAAGACATGTATCTTTTCTTTTTTTCCCATGATAGACATCAAAGCAATAAAAAGAAGGCAAAATCTACCTACTTATCAATTCTACTCAGAATTTAACTCTTCCAAATTCTCCAGAACATAATTAATTAGCTTTAACCGAAATGGTATATCTTAACACATAACGCTGTCAAAAATACAAATTCAAGAACGATGGTTTTAACGAACCTAGTGACTGGTCGATGAATGGGAATGGCAGGATTCTTATTTCCATCAGAATTTTTCCTGCAAATATACATTGGGATGAATTATAAGTTAGTAAAAAATTTATGTAAAGAAAGAATCTCGTTGAACATCAAAGTATAGGGATGAAATTCATACTCTTTTAAAACACCTCTCTCGTGGGCAGTACATGTATAAGGGGGAGGTGCAATTATATTCCTATTGATTGTACCCAGTGCCCTCCTAGTTTGCCAGGGTCCTGCAGCCGTCAAGCCACCTAATGGTCATCAATAAATTATAATTTTCCTCCTTTCCATGATTAGAGTTCTATCGAAAAGAAATTTACTGATTAAAGGAAATCGAAACCAAATAAGAATCAATTAAGTGCCAATTTTTCAAATTCAAACTTTTTTTATATATTTAATACTACCTTGAATGTTTGAAGGCCTGATCACGCCTGGAAAGTTCTCATCCGATCTACCCATCTTGATTATCTTGCAAAACAGCGGCAAATTTGAAAAAAATCAAATCACAGACACATTAAAGAAAACAATAAACCAATCATCAAAAAACCCAAAGAGCTTCGGGGGAAAAAAGACTAAATTAAAATCAAACAATCAATCAAGATTCAATTCAAGGCACAAGAACAAAAACCCAGATAGTAAAAACGAAAAAGAAAAAAGAAAAAACAAACCAGCTTCAAAATCAAGAAAAAACCCAGAAAATTTTGTACTCTAAAATTCAACTTGAAAATTTAGAGCATCGAAAGATCTCTCTCTCTCTCTCTCTGTGTTTTATTTGTATATTCTTGGGGATTGAATTTCTTCGAGTCAATTGATTCAAAAGAATCAATATAAGAAGAAAATTGCTTGACGAAAGTAAACAGCGGATATAAGTCCGAATTTCTCCAATATAATTTGAAAACAACGGCTAGTAAACCTTTGCCGTTCGATGAAAAGTCGTGATGTTCCGCTTTTGGACTCAAAACGGTAACTTCTCCCTGTTGCCTCTTGCGTTTCTGCCCCCATGTTATTTTTTTTAATTTTCACATTTATTATCAAGCCCTTTAATTAAGATTTATTGAACTAAGTGCCAATTTTAATTTAATTCATTGAGATAGATAGATCAATTTTAAATAATTTTCAAAATTTGAATTTCGAAAAAAGAAAAGTGGTATATAATAATTGTGCGAAATGGATTTAATATCTATATTTATTTTTTAAAATAAATATCATATTTCTTTCAATATCTGAAGGTCATTTGGTTTTCATTATTTCAAATTTTAGCGGGTTAAATAGCATTTTCAAGAATTGGTAGTTGAAAAATAATGAAAATTTTTGGTTTACGGATAATATTATTTTATAGAAGATTGTGTGATTGAAAATAAAAGAAGTGAAAAATAAAATTTAATTGACATTTATCGATCCATCAAATCATTATTTGCTTTGAATCTATTCCGCCTCAACAATAGTAAAGTTTGAATCGATGAAACTCTCAAGAAATTCATATACTTATATAGATACATATAACAGAAAGTCTATTTTTAATTATTAAAAAAAAACAAAAATACAATTTTATACACTAGTAAGCCTGCCACTATCTATCTTAATAAATGGCTATGAATATATTGGAATGTTGGTATTTTGTCGTAATAATAATAATGCTAGATGTCTCTTGATGTATATGAATTAATATTACCATTCAGCCTAAATTCTGCAATTATGCAATACAACTTATTTAATTAAAAAAAAAATGTTGAACCCCAACTTTGAGGGCTCCCACCACCCCCACCATTAGAGCTTTGTGAAGGAGATAAGTTGCAGGATGTGCCCCAACTAACCAGAGAACAAGAGCTGCTTATACACTGCGCCTACAAGGAGTTCAATTTCATGTCTCAGGAATCGAACCCCCACACTGCGGTTGCAGTAAGACGTGAGATAACCTCACTCCCGTCTTTTGCACTACTAGACTATGTCCCGAGGGGCAATACAACTTATTTAATTGATATGACATACAGTTGTTGTTGCGACTTTTTTTACTTGTAATTAAGTAGCTTTTTTTTTTTTTTCCCTATTTCATTAAAATTTACTGGTTTTAACTTTAAGTTGTTTTTCCAAAGTTACCTTGTTGAACAAACTTCGTGTCTCACATGACTGTGTCAACATTATATTTTTGTGATTAAAAAAATGTCAAGTTAGATTCACTGATATCTGAGAAAGTACTTCCCTTAATTATATTTATACTCACCAAAATAGTGTGATGACATAACTCAAACACATATATAATTGATTGAATTGAAACGAAATCAAAATGGAAGATAAGCATGAAACTTCACTTAAAGTTACCCAAAGGAAATTTTTCTATGTGAAAGTAATGATGATTTGATTTTGAAATGTTCACATTGCTTTTTGGAGCCTCTACAGGGATCACTTTATTTCTTTTATTGTGCTTTCTGTTAGAATTGTTATAAAGATCGTGCTACACGTACATAATAATTTACCTAATCGTTTACCTACTATCCACATCATTTGAATGGGACCTCGGTTCGCATTATTAAATTACACATGAGGCCCGCATGTTTGTGAAGGGGGTGTAAATGGTTCGGTACACCCTCCTCGATACAAACATCTTTATCCTTGTTATAAATCTCAATGACTAGTATATGCATGTTATACAAGTTAGCCTCTATTTGATTCCCATTACCTGAAAATGAAAATTGAGGGAATAATATTTTTTAGAAAAATGAGTGGTTGAAAAAGAAAGAAAAATTTTCGATTTACGTATAATAATATTTTATGGAAATTCTTTCATAGTGCTTGTTTGGTAGGGATTTTATTAATTGATTTTTTGACCGTTAGAGATAAAGAAAAGTCCTACATGTGAGAGAAGAATTCAAAAATGACGATTAAAATAGTAAAATAACGATCAAAAAATTGATTTTAATTGACTTAAAATATATATCAAACAAGCTCATAGTTTCAAGTTCGACTTTAGCACGATTGCTTCAAAGCACTTTGAATATGATTTTGAATATCCTATTTTGTTTGTTTAAGTTGACTTTGCATCACATTAAAACCATTCTCAAACTTTAACATTGCCCTACACTGATTTGAACTAAATTTAATAGGGCGCCGTTATGATTAGTTCCTTAGTCCCTATGCTCCTCTTTTTGGTATTGGTTAATCGAGTTGAACGATCGATCTTCAAGTCGATTCATTTTAAAATTCATATTAAATTATTAATCACGTAACCAAAAAATAAAAAAATAAAGTTAGTCACTAGGATTGATTGCTCTCAAGGAAAAATCGATGGAACATGATAGTTCATTTTTCTCTTGAACGAAGGATTAAAGATGAAATTGAATAATTATTTCGAGGCGTATTTTGAAATTGAATATCTATTAAAAATTAAAGTATCACCTAATTTACCTTCTTTTTGTCCATACATTTTCTTTCTAGTCTTTACAACAAAACGAGTTCTCTCCCTTGTATTATACATACCCTCTTACAAATCTTACCTCTCCATAACTCTCTTCTCAAGTCTCATCTTCATTTTATTATTCATTAATTTTTAAATAGAATTTTTCCCAAATACACAATTTCTAGAAATATTTTGGGTGGATCAATATAATCATAGTCGATTTACTTATAATATTTATGTTAAATCATGTTTTGAAAAATTGTATTATCGTATTGAGTTCATTTAACCATTGGTGACTAAAGTTCGAGTGAAATTTCAAGTTGGTAATTAACCTTTTTTCGTGATTCATTTAGTCACTAAAATTTAAAAGGCTTTCACCATTGGTCACACGGTTAGTAAAATTAACGTATAATGTGACTTGACATTTGTTAAGTGGACCAAAATCCATTATTACAATTGCCACATACGTACAAGTCGTGTTTCTCATTTATTTACCCATTAATAAAGATATTTTTCACTCTTTAAATGTTTTATTAATTTATACTTATTTTCGACTAGTATGTGAATTAATGGCAATTGATTCCCTCAACAGATGCCAGCCACATTTTACTTACGTTTATTGATCAAGTGCACAATGGTGAAATGATCGTTATAAACTTGAATTACAAATTTGAAATTTTGCACAAACTATGGTAACCATTGGTGAAATTAACTCACAGATATAAACGTATACACATTTACTACTTACTTGTTTGAGACCCATATACGGAATCTTTTATGGAAAATGCTTGTTGTATATCACTATTTACAAATTAATGATTTGACGATAAATTGAATTAAAATTGTCAGAATCTCTTCACCGGTTAAACGATCGTGCTTATATAATATGCATTAATGGCAAACAGAAATTGGGACCTTTTTTTTTTTTTTTTTTTTGTTGGTGAGATTTTGACTCGATCAAATCTTAACACATCATGTGTTGACGAACAAATTTGTAAGTTGTGATGTACATATAGCACAACCAATTTTTTATAATAGTTTAGCCAACGGATTAAACCGAATAACCTCAGTAAAATTGATTATAAGCCAAGCGTGCATGTCAAAACTACAGCAAATCCTTGTATTAAGTCTTAATAGAGCAATTTATGGTGAAAGAGAGATAAAAAGGGAGATGCCAAATTTTCTTGTGTATCCTTGAATTCTGCAAGTACAAGTCATCATCTTCATCATCAATATCATTTTTTTCAATAAAGTCATAAGTACAGAAAAAATTTAACAGAAGTTGTACCGACGCAAAATGTAAGTGGATTGTTTCTCTTTTTTTCCTCATCTTCCAATGATGTCGTACCATGTGTTGTCTGTAAGATTTTTTGGTCAAAAAGTTCTGTACTTATAACATGATTCTCATTTTTTTCCCTGTAAAAACATGATTTCAATTCTATCTGGTTTTATAATGTTGTGACTGAGTTAATTTCAACACAAACTCAATAAAATTCTACTGAATTACCATTATCAGTTGTAGGGAAAGAGGTTGATCCACTCTTAAGATTCTGTCAGCCTTATTGCCATTCTCTTCTCCTAGCTTCTTGGAATTTATATATTTTCCACAAATTCTGTTTCTTGATGACGATCTTCATTATGCAACAATAATTATATCGACAATATCTATCTTGAATTTACGATATGGTGGTTTATGTTTATATCCTTGCCTTTAGCACCAGTCGAGTGAGACCAAATTTCACTGGGGGGTAACTGCCCTCACAAGAACATTGAGTCGTCAAGTCCATTGTGCCCGTGTACCCGGATGGATTAGATAGATGAAATCATTGAGATTGTTGAATCTGTAAAAGACATTGAAGAGTATAGAAGGACACAAAGGAAAGAATGTAATAATCTAAGGGATTTACTAGAGTTACGTAATTTTTGTACATAGGAGTGTCCACGCTCTTCATATGGTGTGAGCTGCTCACATGGTGTGGGCCCACATCATGTGAGGAGTGTCGACACCCTTATATGCAAAAATTATATACAAGTAGATTTAATCTAATTAGGAGATTGAAGTTTTTTTTTGCCACTTTTAGATGTGATCGATTAGGGACCTCGATAGAGTGCTTGAAGAAACTAAAGAAGGATATTCAATCTGCCAAGAAATTGTTGAACGTGTGTCATTCAGGTACTAAAATTTACCTACTTAGGGGCATTGAATTTTCTGTAATTTTGTAATAAAATATTTGGAATTCTTGTTTCTGATTCTTTAATCTGCTCTCCTGTTTTCAGGCTACAGAAAGGCTATGATGGTTAGATTTCATTCTGTATAAGAAAAGATAAATCGAGCAATGGAAGGAATGCCGTATGATGAGCTTGGTATATCAGACGAATAGAAAGAACCGGTATGCATTACCAGCTGTTTCTTATCATCTTGAATTATGAATTTTTCTCTCTAAAACACTTGCTTGTCTGGACCATTAGTCGATGTCCTT